TGAACGTAGAGCCTAAAAAAAGAGGAGAGTTATGGCCCGCGAAGGAGAGTTAAATCCGCGATAGTCTCATAAATCCATCGTTTCGGTCTGACAGATTCTACATCCCTCTGACACGCCATACGTGGCCAAAGGGTTTAGCTTGTTTCAACGAACGAGATGGTGAGATAACTTTCGACGTGACTCGTCGGACAAAGGCGAGCCAAGTCGAAGAAAGCCACTAAAAGGATCCAGCGTCGTGTTCTCGGGGCACAAGCGAGGGTCCGGATAGGTCGCCCTCCGGTCGAGTTTATTACCCGAATTAATTGGTTTATGGATCACCCCACTCTGACGATAGCACCACGTGCGGTTGTACGACGGTGGTGACCAAGAGGGAGACACGGGGAGAAAGCGAAGAAAGATAATTCAGCTGAGAGGAGTGAGAGAAAACGATTTGAAAATGCAGTAAATGGGGGGATCATGCGTGAGGAGGGAAAGCACAGGGGGAAGGGGAGGGGAGGGCTCGACGAAGGGGAAAGGAGAAAATAAGCAAAAGGAGGAGGAAGAGAAGGGGATCATGATTCGGAGAGTGGTGGTGGAGCATGCGCGGGTGGGAGTGGCACCTTATTCGTTGTACCGCTCCCGCCAAGGGTTTCTGTCAACTACGAACTGCCGATAGTAAAGGTTCTCAGGATACGCACGTTGTCAACACGCGAATTCACGGTGTCACGAATGTTTACGTTCGACTTATTGTACCTCTCAAACGTAGCGCGGAGGGGAGTGTTAAACCATCGACACCATTGTGTTCTTAGACACAGTTTCCTTTTTTTACTTTGTTGACTCTAATAATTTTTTAAAAGTTATTTCTATAGAACTCGCACGTTGGCAGTGTGATACAGTTTGGCAAAATTATCCGTCAAGTCGGGGGATTTGAACTTTGCGAATCGCAAAGTTGATGGGAAGTGCATTTGAGAGTGACAGTGCGCTCTTACGCGTGAGGATCCATCGGTGAAAAGGATACGCGTGAGGATCCATCGGTGAAAAGGATACGGTGACGATTAACAAATGTAACTGTCGTCGAAAATTGACACGATAATTAAATGCGATGCAAGAAGCCCAGTTTACGACGGGAGCACATCGCGGCGGAAGAAGATAAAGGTGGACAATCGCGATCGCGGCACGTGGCCAGGGGGCGAAAGTGTCACGTGGATGTCCGTTCGTATTGAATATTGCGAAGCTCGCGAGAATTTTCAATTTAATAGAAAAAAATTTTCCTGATTTTTGGAGGAGAAAGGCCTTGCGGCATTGGAAAAAGAAAAAAATCGCGAGGAATTCATTGAATTGGGAAATAAACACGGACGAAAATTCACGCTCATCGATCCCCGACAATCTGCGCTTTCCCCTTCCGTACCGCAACGGACAGGAATAAAAGGGGACGGGAATAAAAGAGTGAGATCCAGGTGTGGGTGATCCAGCCGGTAGGTCAGATGAAATTTGCAGTGAGGTCTTTTGCGTCACTGTCCCGGGGGAGGGTTTTTGCTTTGATATAACTAACGATCCACGATCAACGTCGGAGATGCCGGCTAATCAACGATGAAGAGTCGCCGGTGAGAAGCAAGCCCGTTCTCGTATCAAACGCGCTCCTCCAGATCCAAGAATAAAGGAACTCGATTGCGAAACCCAGATTTCTCGAGACGCATTGATGTTTGCGTCACGGCGAGTAAATCATTCTGCATTAATTAGCGAAGATCGGAGCGAACGGTGAGAACGGCGTTAATGCGCGCCTTGCTAAGGAGGGTCGTTTCGCAATACAAGAGGGAAACGAGGGACGAGTTATGCGAGGGGAGTGATATCCGTTTGACGGGAAAATATACGTGTGCTCGGTAACGCGGTGCCACACCTTGGCAACGTCGAGCGCAAAAAAATAAAAAAAAAAAAGGAAAAAAGGAGCGAAAGAGACGCCGAGCCTTCGTGTAAAAAGTTCGCGAAAACGCCCGAGGGAGAGAGCTCGGGAGACGAAACACATTACGGGACAACGTTTACGGCGGAAACAACGGCCGCCGTCTAACAACTGACGATAAAAGGAGAATCGTTAAGCCCGAGAAGATCTCTGTGGAATGACCGAAGTAAGCCGGAGTAATAGCGAAACTACTTTCGCGCGGATGTACGAAAGCTAAGTGCGCTTATTGCCCGTGTGGCTTCCACGAGAAAACACGTGGCCGCGTCGAAAAACTCTTCCGTTTGCGAGGAATCGAGAGAGTTTCCTACGGCGAGCAAATAAATCGCGCGAAAAGGACGAGGGACCCAACGTGATAATTCAATTTTGATTTGATGATACGCAACAGCCATCTGTAATATCGCGATTTTTCCTAAGGATCCTAAGGAGCAAATTAGAAAAGTTTACGTTGAGTGGCGCAAAAGTAAATCACGGCGAGAGACATCGAGAAATTCCGAGCGTTCCATTAAATCCGAACGCGAGCTGGAATTTTTTTCTTGTTAAACGACGCGATCGGTATTCGGAAGCTTCTTAAGAGGCATCGAGAAATCCCTTTTCGCGAGAATCGTGGAAAAACGTGGGAGAAACGTCGCCGTGGGACAAATCGACGAACGCGCAGGAATTCCGCTGGCTCAGCCGAAATCAACATTCAAATACGGGCGCTCGACTGTTTCTAAAGTATCGAAGAATCGACGATCCTCCTCCCGAGGTGCACGTGGCATTCGTCGCCGGGGCACTCGTCGTTTTACTCCGTGGACGAAGCGGGAGGAAAGAGGAACGCGTTGAGGCGTTCCGCGGTGGACTCGGTTAAGCGGAAATACCCCGACGGTGCAAATTCTACGGTGTAATTCTCATTCTTTTTCTCGACAAACGGTACAAACGGCCGCGATTATCCTCTCCCTCTGCTCCCTGGCCCCGCCCCGCGCAAATGTCAAGTGAACGATGAAGTACTCGAGGGTACAGGCGAGGAAGAAGTGGGACGCCACTTCGCTCGGCGACGAATCGTGCTCCAGGTGCGGCAAGTGTCTGACTAAAATGCATCTCGTACTACTGTCGGCGCTATTCTACTCTTCTCTGACGACAGGTGAGACAGCTTTAATCTCACCGAGACGACACTCTCTATCGTTACCCTTTCCCTCCCCTCATTTCCCTCTTCGCTGCATAATTTATACTTTTTTCCCCTTGCTATTTTAACGTTGCCAGCCATGATTTGCATGCTGCCCTTTGATCACAGTGTAATTTTAATCCATCAAGATTTTTTTGAATTTTTCAAAGTATATAAATCTGACTTTCGTAACGACGGGAGATTTCACTTTTAAATTATATCGAGACGCGAGTACGGAATTTCGAATTGATGTGAATGTCGGCTTCTTTTTCATACGATATAAACGTCACGGGGACATTTACACGATTGGAAAGTGCGAGCAAGATTTATCTACAGCAGCGCTGCGCGCAATTAGCATAATGAATAATTGTGTCCCGCGCCCGTGATACGTCATTCCACCGATAAGTGCTTAATAGGTAAATTAACGGTGACAAAGTGACGCAATTAATCCGCTAACTAGTTATTAAAGTCATCGCGGATACGCCACGCACATCCCATCGCTATTATGGAGGTAAACCTCGTTTTACCGTAGGCTGAAAAGAGATTGGGATCATAAATATTCAGTGACGTTTAAAGCGAACGCCCGCTAGAAAATTTTCACTTTGAACGATGCAACGAGATACATGTTCATATACAATATACATATGTACACATCTCACACACATATACATATATATATATATATATATATATATATATCTATATA